GCCTCCCAAAGGCGTGGGATTACAGGCTGAGCCACCGAGCCCGGCTTATTTTTATTTTTGTGTAGAGATGGGATCTCACTATGTTGACCATGCTGGTCTTGAACTCTTGGCTTCAAGTGCTCCTCCTGCCTCAGAGATTACAGGCTTGAGCCACTGTGCCCAGCTCTATTTCCTTTCTAAAACTTCTATAATCTATACATTATACAACTGACTTATGACATTTAAACAAATTGAACTTGTAGGTGAAATACAAATGTGCAAGGTACTTAAACATTTATCAGACACACACACAGAGAAAGAGAGAGAGAGATTGAAACACTTCATTACTTTATTCTTCTTCCATCAGATTAGTCGCCTCCGGAAGCCATGGGAAATCACAGTGCTTTGGTACCTGGAAAGAGGTGAGTGCAAAGGCATATCCGTGATTTTTATTTCTGGCGGAACTTTCTTCAAGACAACTTTACGATTTTCCCCATGGCAGAGTCTTTCACTGTGATTTAAAAACAGAGAGTCTTCCAAAGGGCCAGTATGAATCCCACATGCTTCTGCTTGCTAAGAGGGAAAAAAAAAATCTGCTGTATCTCATATCAAACATCATTTTCTTGTTAGATTTAAGATGGATATTTCCCAATAATGTTCTAATTTTCCTTGTTGAGAAGGTGGCCCTGGTGAACAGAGTAACATCCCTTTTCTTTTCTTTCTTTCTTTCTTTTTTTTTTTTTTTGTGAGCGTGCCAGGCTGGAGTGCAGTGGCACGCTCACAACCACCCCAGAGTCAACCTCCCGGGCTCCAGCGATCCTTCCGCCTCAGCCTTCCAAGTAGCTGGAACTACAGGTGCGCCCTACTACGCCCGGCTAATTTATTTATTTATTTATTGTAGAGATGAGGTCTCACCATGTTGTCCAGTCTGGTCTCAAACCCACGGGCTCAGGCAATCCTCTCGCCTCAGCCTCCCAAAGGACTGGGATGACAGGCTTGAGCCACCGTGCCCGGCCAACCTCCCTTTTCTAAAAGCAATGCTCAGGCTGGGTTCAGTGGCTCACATCTATAATCCCAGCACTTTGGGAAGCCAAGGCAAGAGGGTTGCTTGAGTCCAAGAGTTTGAGACCAACCTAGAGAACACAGTGAGACCTTGTCTCTACAAAAATAAAAAAAATGAGCCAGGCATAGTGGCACCAACCTGCAGTCCCTGCTATTTGGGAAGCTGAGGCAGGAGGATTCCTTGAGCCCAGGAATTTAAGGCTAAAGTGAGCCATGATTGTGCCACTGCACGCCAGCCTGGGTGACATAATGAGACCCTGACTCTAAATAAATAAATACACACATACATAAGTACAAAATTAATATAAAAGCAATGCTCTGCGATTCGGTGTTACCTGACTACCAGGAAGAGCTGTGTGAACTGCAGCATATAAAGGTAATAAACTTGGAGTTAAATTGTGGAACTCTTGTGACCTTGTCCAAATCATTCACTCCCACTTGACTCAATTTTCTCAAATATAGAATGGTTCCATTAAAGGATTCTTTGAGTATTGAATAAAATATATGTAAATGAAAAAGCATTTGCCAACTACTAGGTATTAAAAAAGATAGAAAGTGTGATGCTACTGCTACAATTGTTGAATAAACAACAGCTATTTGAGGTTACTGACTTAACCATACATCTGCTTCTGATTCTTCAGTACTGCCAGAAAAGCATTTTGGCCTGGTCTTGGGGTGTGGTCCCGACTCTGGTATGCTGTTGTTAAATATAATTTCATTACCTCCTACCAGAAAAAATGGTGAGACTCAATAGAAGGAAGAAAAGCGTAAGCTAGCATTTACTAGCATTTGCTCAGTGTGGGCACATTCATTTTATTTAATTCTCTTACTTAATTCTCTCTCTCTCTCTCTTTTTTGAGATGGAATCTTACTCTGCTGCCCAGACATGTTCATGGCCACTGCAGCCTCGACCTGCTGGGTTCAAGTCGTCCTTCCACTTCAGTCTTCCAAGTAGCTGGAACTACAGGTGTATGTCATCATGCCCGGCCAATTTTTTGATTTATTGTAGAGAAAAGATCTTGCCAAGTTGCCTAGGCGGTTTGAATCCCTGGGTGATCCTTTCACCTCCGCCTCCCAAAGTGCTAGGATTACAGGCAGTCACCATGACCGTCTCTCTTATTTAATTCTCATGGTAACTCTGTAAGGTAGAATGTCCTATACACCAGTCACCAATGATATTTTAAAAATAGTTAGGAATACTGTCAACTAAGTTGCAAAAGTAAAATAGTTCTGAAAAATTACACTGGATTATAGCGCTTCAGAATAAGATAAAGTAAGTTTATTATAAACATAATTTGGGGTTTAAGTTGAACATTTGAGTGCTAATTTTGTTTTATTTTTGTTTTCAAAATATTAGATAAAATATATATAATAATACCAGGCAAATGCAGTTTAATTTATTTTCTTTCATTATACATGTGCATTTTATTTTAAAAATTGAGCCATATTTCTGTAATATACTTTATATGTCATATGGCATCAATGTTTTATAATATCATCTCTGTCTTAGCAAAATATATTATTTTATTTTATTATTGTTATTATTTTTGAGGCAGAGTCTCACTGTCCCCCAGGCTGGAGTGCAGTGGCACATCACGGCTACCGCAGCCTTGATCTGCTAGGCTCAGGCGATCCTTCCACCTCAGCCTTCCATGTAGCAGGAAACACAGGTTTGCGCTGCCACGCCCGGCTAATTTTTTGATTTATTGTAGAGACGAGGTCTCACCAAATTGCCCAGGCTGGTCTTGAACCCCTAGGCTCAGGCGATCTTTTTGCCTCCACCTTCCTAAGTGCTGGGATTACAGGCATGAACCACCATGCCCGGCTGGCAAAATACCTATATTCTTATTTAACATTAACTACTTATCCATTTGATATTTGCCAACTAGTAATACAAATACATTTTTTTCCCTAGAAAATCTAACTTAAAATTTCTTCTCATAGTGTGATTATTACTACTATTATTATTATCCTATTCTCCTTTAAATAAATAACTTACCTTTTCACAAGTAACTTTATCAATCTGAATTTGGAAAATGCTTTAAACAAATATCTAGCCGGGCTCAGTGGCTCAGCCTGTAATCCCGCGCCTTTGGGAGGCTGAGGTGAGTGGATTGCCTGAGTCCGCGGGTTCGAGACCCGCCTGGGAACTTGGCGAGACCTCATCTCTACAATAGTCTCACTATATTATCCAGGCTGGTCTTGAACTCCTGTCTCAGCCTCCTATAGTGCTGAGATTATAGGCATGAGCCACAACATTCAGCCACATATGATCATCTTAATGTTGTTTTAAAACTACTGAATGAATAGGAGCATTGAATGGCAAGTTCTTATGTGTAACTCTAGCCAGACTGTTCCCATGGCTTCTCTACCTGCATAAGCTGTACAACTTTAAAAATACATGCTTTGGGCCAGGCATGGTGGCTTATACCTGCAATCCCAGCACTTTGGGATGCCGAGGAAGGATGATGGCTTTGGGCCATCAGTTCGAGACCAGCCTGAGCCACATAGCTAGATCCTGTCTCTACAAAATAAAAATTAACCAAGTGCGGCAGCCTTTACCTGTCACTCTAGCTACTTGGGAAGCTGGGGCAGAAGGATCCCTAAGCCCAGGAATTTGAGATTGCTGTGACATATGATCATGCACTGCACTCCAGCCTGAGCAAGAGTGTCAATCTCAAAAAAAAAAAAAAACCCAAAACCCCAAACTAAAATACAAACAAACAAAAAAATGCTCTGTACTGCAGCTTTAATATTAATGGCACCTACTGTTGATAAGCTTCTTGAAAACTGCAGGTTAGCATGATGTGAAGATTTTGACATCCTTTGGTATATCTATTATAAGTTTGTAGTTGGGTTATTTTAACAGATACTGTTATTTAACTTTTATTTGCAAGTTTGTGTATGTAGTTATGTATGTCTATTCATGGATATTTAAATGGCACAGATTTTTTTGTAAAGAATAGGTCTCACTATGTTGCCCAGGCTGGTCTTGAACTTAGGCTCAAGCAATCCTCCCACCTCCACCTCCCAAAGTGCTGGTATTACAGGTGTGAACCACTGCACCCATCCTTAATGGTATAGGTTTTTTCTTATTAATATTTGTGAGAAAATACCTTCAGATACACATTCCTGAATTTCATGCTTTCTTTCCAAGGCATAACATAATGTCTTGGGATCATCCCTTGCTTTAATGAAAACCGCGGCAAATGAATCTCCTCATACCTGAAGATTAAGAAAGCAAGAAGAAAGAATATCCTGTGAGCTAAATCCAATCATGTTAGCATCATTACAGGTAGTTGTGTGTTCATGTTCATTCCCTATAGGACAGAGAGCTGAGCTATGGCACTGAGGCTCAACTAAAAGATAACTGACCCTTTCTTTTTTTGTTGTTTTCTGGAGATGAGGGCTCACCAAGTTGTCCAGGCTGGTTTTGAACCCACAGACTCAGGCAATCCTCTCACCTCGGCCTCCTAAAGTGCTGGGATTATAGGCATGAGCCACTGTGCCCGGCCAACTGACCCTTTAAATCCCCATGCATCACCAAGATCCAGTTGGACTGCGTATCTGTACCTCCCACTGCACTCTGACCTTTACAATTTACCCCCAGTGTCCCTATTAATCTGATTTTAAGGGAGAAGGCAGCACAGTCCTACACATTGCCTGAAGGAAATCTCTGGCCAGTCCCTAAAAACAATAACTATATTGGTTTCTGAGTTTACACATGCTCTACACCCAGTTCACACTTGATATCACTGCACATGTTTCTCTCTGGAGCACACATGTACGTGCACACACATATACACACACACACAGACTTTGTGTTTTTGGTTTTGGTTTTTTTGGAGTCAGGTTCTCACTCTGTTGCCCAGGTTGGAATGCAGAAGCACAATCACAGCTTACTGCAGCCTTGACCTCCTGGGCTCAGGAGATCCTTCTGCCTCAGCCTCCTATAGTGCCACTATGCCAGGTGAATTTTTTTATTTCTATAGAGACAAGGTCTCACTATGTTGCCCAGGTTGGTCTCAAACTCCTGGGCTCAAGCAATCCTCCTGCCTCAGCCTCCCAAAGTGTTGGGATTACAGACATGAGTCACCACGCCTGGCCAAAGCTTTCTATATACATGCCAAAAGGAAATACAGTGTTGTTATCCTCATCTGTGTAGCTCCAGATTGTAAAACAAACAAGTATACAACAAACAAACACACAAAAAACACCCAGAACCCAAAGTCCTCACTTGATAGCAGGCTTATAGGAATTCTCATCAGAGCAGTTGTTGGCCAGTTTAGGTAAGGTAGGACAAGTGTCTTTTCCTGAAGCCATCACTGCCTGCAGTGGATGAAATTCTTGTCTAGAGTTTCACTATCTCACTAGTTTAGTTATGATGACATCACTGTTCTGATGTAATAATGTTTTACTAACTTCCTAGCAACTCATAGCAGTTACATTAGCAGTTGTGCATGTCCCACTCAGAGCTATTTTCAGTGACTTTTAAAATTTCCCTTTTTAAGTAAAACATTATTTTTTTTTTGAGTTGGAGTCTCACTCTGTCACCCAGACTGGAGTGCAGTGGCCAGGAATGGCCACTGCAGCCTCCACTTGCTGGGCTCCGGCGATCCTTCCACCTCAGCCTTCCAAGTAGCTGGAACTACAGGCGTGTGCTACCATGCCTGGCTAGTTTTTGATTTATTGTAAAGATGAGATCTCGCCAAGTTGCCCAGGCGGGTCTCGAGCCTGCGGGCTCAGGCAATCCACTCACCTCAGCCTCCCAAAGTGCTGGGATTACAGGCTGAGCCACCGAGCCCGGCAATAAAACATTCTTATCATGAGTAATTAACAAATGGGAATGATTGCTTGTGACATATTACAAATTTGACACAAACATACTAGAAAACATGTTGGACTAAGCAATTATTCACAAATAATCACTTCATATGAACATTCTCTATTTGCCCTTGGCTAATTATTCCTCCTTATTTACAGCACAACACCTACAGCCAACTGATTTTCAACAAAGGTGTCAAGGATACCCATGAAGCTAGGTGCAGTGGCTCATGCCTGTAATTCTAGCACTTTGGAAGGTGGAGGTGAGAGAATTGCTTGAGCCCAAGGGTTCAAGACCAACCTGGACAACTAGGTGAGACCTCTTCTCTACAACAAATTTTTAAAAATTTTATAAATATGTTCTGTAATAACAAAATAGTAAGCATGGAAAGCAGAAATAGCCAAGCAGAAGAATCTCAGAGCTTGAGGACCAAAATATAGAGCTAATCCAAACTGTCAATGACATAGAAAAGAAGCTTAAAAAGACAGAACAAAACCTTCAAGAGATGAGTGATTATCTCAACAGGCTGAACCTAAGAGTAATTGGACTTTCTGAGGCAGAAAGAGACAGAGACCACACTGGAACAGACATTCCATGAGATTATTCAAGAAAACTACCTTCATCTCATCAGTGATGTGAAAATTCAAACACAAGAGATTCAGAGAATCCCTGCAAGACAACAAATGAGAAGACCAACTCCTAGACACATAATAATTCACCTAAACAAAGTAGGTATAAGAGAAAAAATCCAAAAGGCAGCAAGAGAAAAAGGTCAGACTACCTACCGGGGAAGACCAATTAGAATAGCAGCAGATTTATCTACAGAAACACTTCAGGCTAGGAGAGCTTGGAACCCAATCTTCAAAGTTCTCAAAGATAAACAATTTTAACCAAGAATAACCTAGCCAGCTAAGCTAAGCTTCATCAGTGAGGGAGAATTAAAATCTTTCCTAGATATTCAATCCCTAAGAACTTACGCTGCCTCTAGACCACCTCTACAAGAAACACTTAAGAAAGTATTAAACAGAAGAAAGGGAAAAAAGAATGACAATGTTCTTCACAAGAGTGCAGAAAAAAGATTGAAAACATACATGAGGCCAGGCTCGGTGGCTCAACCTGTAATGCCAGCACTTTGGGAGGCCGAGGCGAGTGGATTGCCTGAGTCCGCAGGTTTGAGACCCACCTGGCAACTTGAGAAGACCTTGTCTCTACAATAAATAAAAAATTAGCCAGACATAGTAGCACGCACCTGTAATTTCGGCTACTTGGAAGGCTGAGGCGAAAGGATCACTGGAGCCCAGCCGATTGAGGCTGCAGAGGCCGGGCGCATGTCACTGCACTCCATTCTGGGTGACAGAATGAGACTGCAACTCAAAAAAAAAAACAAAACACACACACACACACACATGAATCAACCGAAAAAAAGAAAGACAACAAATAAACAACAACAACTCTATAAGAACCACATGACAGGGATAAACTCTCACATTTCAATAACTAGCCTGAATGTGAATGGACTAACGCACCACTGAAAAGATAAAAAATGGTAAAATGGATAAAATATCATTGGGCAACAATATATTGTCTCCAAGAGACTCATCTCACCAGAAAGGACACTCACAAACTCAAAGTAAGAGGATGAGAAGCAAAATTTCAGGCAAACAAAACACAAAAGAAAGCAGGAGTTGTGATCTTAATATCAGACAAAATACCCTTTAAGCTATCAAAAATTTAAAAAGATACAGAAAGTCATGATATAATGATAAAAGGTTCAATCCAACAACAAGAAATGCCCATCCTAAACATATATGCACTCAACACAGGAGCATCAACTTTCGTAAAGCAGCTTCTAGGCAAACTTAAAAAAAGATATTGACTCTAACACTATCATAGCTGGGGACTTTAATACCCCACTCACAACCCTAGACAGATCATCAGGCCAAAAAATCAGCAAGGAGATCCAGAACCTCAATGTGACTCTTAACCAAATGGACTTAATTGATACCTACAGAACACTCCACCCAACGACCATAGAATATACATTCTACTCATCACCACATGGAACGTACTCAAAGACTGACCACATCCTTAGCCATTAATCAAGCATAAACAAATTTCATAAGACTGAAATTTTGCCATGCCCCTTCTCAGACCACAGTGGAATAAAAATAAATATCAACACCAACAAAGTTCCCCCCAAACCCACAAAGACATGGACATTAAACAGTATGATGCTAAGCAACTCCTGAGCCAACACAGAAATCAAACAGAGATTAAAAGATACCTGGAAACAAATGAAAACGAAGAAATAGCTTACCAAAATCTCTGGGATGCCATGAAAACAGTAGTAAGAGGGGAATTCATATCTCTACAAACACACTTGAAGAAAATGGAAAGATCACAAGTTAACAGCCTAATAAGTCACCTATGGAAGCAGGAAAAGTAAGACCATCATATGGAAACACAAACAACCAAGAATAGCCAGAAATCTTCAGAAAAAAAAAAAAAAAAGCAGGAGGTACCACACTACCAGACTTTAAACTTTACTATAAAGCTACAATAATCAAAACAGCCTGGTATTGGTACAAGAACATACATATAGACCAGTGGAATAGAATTGAGATTCCAGAAGCAAAACCTCAATTTCTCAACCAACTCATCTTCAACAAAGCCTCCACCACCAACCACTGGGGAGACGAGAACCTATTCAGTAAATGGTGCTGAGTAAACTGACTGACCATATGCAGAAGATTGAAACAGGACCCCTACCTATCCCTATACACAAAAATTAACTCTAAATGCATCAGAGACCTAAACATAAAAACTCAAACTATAAGAATCTTAGAAAATGCAGGAGATACTCTTATGAAAATTGGAACTGGCAACCAATTCCTGATCAAAACCCTAAGTGCCCATGCCATAAGAGATAAGATAGACAAGTGGAACCTCATCAAACTGACAAGCTTCTGTAAAGCCAAAGAAATCATCAAGAGAGCAGGGAGACAGCCCACTGACTGAGAAAAAATATTTGTCAACTCCATGTGTGACAAAGGCCTAACATCTAGGATCTACAAGGAACTCAAACGTACTGAAAAGAAAAAAACAAACAGCCCCATTACAAAACTGAGCAAAAGATATGAATAGATTCTTAAAAGAAGACATAAGCAGTCAACAGATACATGAAAAAATGTTCAGCCTCACTAGTCATCAAGGAGATGCAAATTAAAACTACACTGAGATACTACCAAACTCAGGTCAGAATGACCATCATCAATAACTCAAAAAATAACAGATGCTGGAGAGGATGTGGCGAAAAGGGAACACCTCTACACTGTTGGTGGGAGTGTAAACTAGTACAACCTCTGTGGAAAAGAGTGTGGCAATTCCTAAAGTTCTAAAAATTGACCTTCCATATGACCCCACAATCCCCTTACTGGGAATATACCCGAAAGAACTCAAATCACTCTATAAAAAAGATACCTGCACACATATATTTATTGCAGCATTGTTCACAATAGCAAGAACATAAAACCAACCTTGCTGCCCATCAAAAGAGGACTAGATTTTTAAAATGTGGTACATATACACAATGGAATATTACACAATCATAAAGAAGAACAAAATCATGAATTTCACAGCAACCTGGATGGTCTTAGAGTCTATAATACTGAGTGATCTTTCATGGAAACAAAGAACTGAGTATCACATGCTCTCACTCATAAGTGAAGCTTGAACAGCTATCGCAACACTATAAGAAAAGAATTGACAGTGGTGGAAAACTGTAGGGAGGCCGGGGGAGCTGGGGATGGAATTGACAGTAGTGGAAATCTGCCTGGGGAAGGGAGGGGCACACTTCATCAACAAGAGTACCTGCACAACGAATATTTGTATACCTAACCCTGAACTGTACCCCACAATTTTAAAATACAAAAATTTAAAAGTTAAAAAAAATCAATAAAACAAGAAAAGAAATACATTTTTTCAGAAAAGAACTATGGATAATTATGTTTAAGATACTGATGAATGTAAATAAATATGTTCTGTAATAATTATTCTTTTTGCTATTTTTAATGTTTAAATGGGCAAAAGACCTTAATAGGCATTTCTCAAAAAAATACATACAAATGGCCAACAGGTACATGAAAAAATGCTCAACATTAATACTGCCCATGGTTGGAATATGTCTCATTTGTTTCATCACCTTTCTATAATTTAGACACACACTTTAAGGGTGCAAATCAAATTTGCCTAAACCCAAACCACTCCAACCTATTTTATCCTCTAAATTTTGTTATATTGCAGAATATTTTAGATTACAAAAACTCGTTTTCATAAAGAAAGGTGATCGAGTACAGTGGCTCACGTGTGTAATCCCAGCACTTTGGGGGACTGAGGTGAGGATTGCTTGAGTCCAGGAGTTTGAGATTAGTCTGGGCAACACAGTGAAACCTCATCTCTACCAAAAAAAAAAAGTTAGCCAGGTATGGTGGTGTGCACCTGTAAACCCCAGCTA